AATCATCTGCTTTCAGTGAAAAATGAAAAGATCAGACACATACATAAAAGCTGAATTAATCTTTGTAATTAAATGGAACATTACATTGCCGTGAATGATTTTAGCTTTCAGAATGTATTTCATGCTAATTTTTCAGTGAACTGTAATTGTATTAATTTTTTTATTTTTAGAAGCCTGAAAATGATCTTCACAAAGTTATTGAGAGTCGAGTTGATATACAGAAGATCCGTGTGAAACTTTGGGTGGAATAACTTTTTTTTTTTTAGCAGTTTGTACGATATGTCAGTGCTTGGTGTTAGCCTACAAAGTATCTCAGTTTGACTCTGGGCAAAAAAGGCTCTCAGACAGTTCATGTGCCAAGTTTGAATGTCAAATGAGAATTCAACTAGACTGGAATGATGCTTTGTAGAACTGAAACACGTGTGTGTGTTGCCATGTTGGCAAGTCATTAAGTCAAGAGTGAAAAGTCATTTATTATTTTGACTCTGTAGTAAACTTTCTTGCAATGCTCTTGTCATGATGGAAAGAGAAACACACGTAGATGATAAAATCCTGTGATAAAGTCAATGGTGAAGCTTGTTTGTGTAATCAATGGCAGAGGGAACAGTTGCCCTTTAGGTCCTCTGCTTAAGAGCCTGCTCTCCCTAGACCGCCTGTATAGTGAATAGTCATTGCTACTTCCTCTAAAGCATGCTGCTGCCCTGCATCACCCCCTGCAAGAGCCTCTCACTTTCACTAACAGGAGAGGGAGCTTGCAGAGATGAGATTCTGAATTTGCCAGACAGCCTAAGCTAGGGTAGTGCTTAACATTAGCTGGGGTAAATACCGTCTTGCCCTCTTTCTCTGGTACACGTGGCTATTTTATATGCAAATTAGTGAGAGGAAAGAAAGGAGCCTTTAAACTGTAAAACGTTGGGATGGTGCATTTATGACAGAGATTCATATGCAGTTGCCGCATGATTGGTTACCGTACATTTGTCACATTTAATTTACTTTCGCCATGTATGTGTATGTGGCTCCTGGAAGAGTAGTCTTTTAAACATACTTTTAATTGTATCAAAGGGAAAATACTGACTTGATTATCAAAGAGGAAGTCAGTCTTAGGAGAGTTTTCTACCTTCTTGTGCTGTATGGATAAGGAGTCTTCAACTTTCCATTAAGCATTACTTAAGCAAATAGAAAATATAACCAAGGAAGCAAGAAACTTCTGACACATGAATTTAGCAACGTTTGCGCAGTGAAATGCTTTCTAAATTGTCTATTGTGTAAGTAGGGCTGCATGCTGTACTCAGCTGGCCAGATTGGGATCTGGATGTTGATAGGATTCACAGGGACTTCAGGGGGCTCCTGAAGTCCCCTCATAGGTTTGTTTTGGCTCCTGGGGAGGTCCTCTCCACCAGGATCCCTGCATCCTTTGCTGTCAGCATCAGGGGACCTGCTGGTGTGCCTTCTGGCACCCCGCCCATGTTTTCTTCCCGAGTGCCCAGGCCTCGTCAGGACGCTAGGGGCAGTCCTCAGGGGAAAGGGATGCTCTTGGACCCTCGGACCAGGCAAGCTATATTGCTCTGTTCCTCTCATGCTGCTGTGTGCTACTCAGTGGAGATAAGGTGGCCTTGGGACGCTGGCTCAGTAGGATCTCAAGTGGGCATGACTGACCTTTATGTTTTTGGCTGCATCATAGTAACTGTTAGGACCAGTCTGAGACTTGCTCCTTTCCTGGAAGAAGCCATATAATGAAATGAGGATTGCATGTGACAGCCTTGTACTGTTTTGCTCTCCATCAGCTCTTGCTCTGGATGTTCTCAGGAAGGCTCTAAAGGATGTTGTTCATCTGTGATTTTTGAAAATTCAAAAGCTTTGTTTCTTAAAGGCATTTAAGGGTGTACCCGGATTCACTAGTAATGAACTAACTTCACTGTGTAGTAAAAAGTTTGTACTTTTCTGAATCTTTGCAGTTCTACATGCCTGCTGAAATATTTAAGAAGATATCAGAATTATGCTGTTAGTCAGCTCCATCCTAGTATTTATTCATTATAGAGTAAATAGTTGTGTTTCTTACTTGCTCAAACTTCTAAATCCCAAATACTGTGATAAGAATTTCTTAAGTAACTAATGCAATAAAGTAACATTTTTTCCTCATATTTATCTTACAAAATAGAAATAGCTTCGGGCATTGATAAAACATCAAGCATCATTGTGATAGTTAAGTCAATCTAGGTCAGAACAGCTGTTGAGGGGCCTGGAGGAATCATCCTCACCCTTGGAGGTGTTTGGTTAAGGAGTGGGACTTAAAAAGGCCAAAAAATGGCGATTCCAAGGTGCTGCTCTCGCTGGGCTGCGATGGAGGAAGAGACTGAGTAGGATGTGGCTGATAGTCCACAAAAACCCTACTAGCAATTGGCGGCCAAACTATCCATGTGGTGAAGGGGATACAAATGTGTACTCATCATGACTGTGAATTAGCACCTTAGGTTTGAGGGCAGGGTCTGTCATCACTTCTTTCCGCGAAGAAGCACACTTCTCTGTGGTAAGGCTGTCAGACCTGGGAGCCTGTGAGGTGTGAATATCTTTGCTTTCATTTGGAAGGCAGTCTAGGAAGTAAGAGTGTTTTTAAGGGATAACGTAACAAGGAAAATGCTTTTTTGTTATGTGCCAAAACACGATCAACAATTTTTTGATCAATATTGTACTGCTTAAAGCATTAGTGAAATGACTTTGTACTGACGCAGTTAATCCTTATCACTTCTGTCAAAACCACCATCAATTTTTGCAAGTTGCACTATAAATTGTTTTTAAAGGGATGGCTCTTTATTATGTAAGTTACGTTCTTTATTGCATCAGTTTTGTCAAAATATTAAGGGGGTCAGTTATGTATATTCAACACAGAGGCTACTTCATTAAGTGATTCAAATGATTACCATTTTTGTGTACAGGATGAACTGTTCTGCACATACAAAATATTTGAATTCGCTTAACTTGTTTAAGCAGCTGACTTAGTAGAAATTTAAACTGATGAGTTTTCCTCCTTGCTTTCTGGAGACTAATATAACAACTAGTTTTGAAACTGTGGAAGGGAAAGGGAAGTTGTCCAGTCCCTTGCAAAAGTTCAGTCGGCTGGACCTGACAGCACCATCAGGTAAAAATTAGATGCTTTTCTATTCAAGCTTGCAGACTAATTGCGCTTCCCCCCCCTTCCCTTTTTTTTCCACAGACGTTTAAAAATATCTTTTAAAGGCTGATATGCCTTCTGGAAAACTGAGAAAACATTCTATTGAGACTTAATTTGGCTCATTTCATATTTTCTGTTCAGCATTTGTCTTCTTTTGTTTTTTTTCACTAGGGATATTTGCATGACAATGGGATCTTTCTTGCTTAAGAGTTCATCTGCTCCTGCTGCTAATTTCCCACCTGAAGTTGTAATCTTCTGTTTGTGACATCTTAATTATCTCAACCGCAATTAATTGTGATGTCACAAATGGAGGATTATGACTTTGGGTTGGAAATGAGATTGAGAAATTGAAGGAGTCTCAAGAAGACTCTTGAAAAGTAAAAGGGGAGATATAGAATAATTTTGATTAACTTGACATAGTCTCCTATTAGCTTCCTTTTTACAGCTGTGTAACAGCTGTTTCTAATTCTTGCCATCTTTGGTCTTCATAGGAGGCCCTGTTGTATGAGACATTGCGGAGGGGAAGGAAGGGGTTAGGATTTTATTGTGGAGGGAGCGGAATCCTCCCTTGAACAGCCACCCTGTCCACCAAAAGGCAAATAGAAGTAGGTGGGTCACCAGCGAGGCTTGGGGGTCTACTCACAAGGAGTGAATTGCAGGGTTAGTATGCCCATAGTTGATTTAAAGGCTGGACAGTTTATATTTCATGTCTTGCAACATTTGCATGGCTTTAGCCTTGTGTTTGAAGAACAATATTGTTAAAAGAAGAGCTTTTCTAGGGCAAGAAGAGTAATCCAGGCTTAGGGAGGAATTATGTTCAGCTTCCCCAAAGTATAAAAACCAAAAGCTTTATGCTACCCTAGTCCGTCATGGGTTTAATTTATTCTGTGGCTTTGACATATTCTTTTTCTATGCGAGTCCTCTTATTCTTCTGTATCTTTCTACTTTTCCCTTGAAAATGCATTATTTCCATAGAGATTCTGGATGACTGGGTGGCCCCTTGGTTTTTCTTTGTTTTCACGAGGACATTATTAAGCTTGTTTACATACTTATGCCATGATTTGTCAAGTGGGAAAACTTATCCACAGCTACTGTCGCTTCACACCGGAGTGTTTATATGGGTTGTGCATAAACACTGAGACCAGTTCATGACTCTGAAAGAGAACAAACGTAAGTTAATGAAAAGTGTCTTATTTTAACACTAGTATTGTCTTCAAGGATAGGGTGAAGACTGTAAAGTAGAGGGATGAAAGTGGAGAATGAAGATGAGATCAGCCATGCGATCTAAAGAAAGTACAGTTTGCTTCAGAAGAGAGTACACCCATTCTTGTTGGTGTAAATGGAAGTGACCTTTAGAGGAAAGATGCCATTCTCTACCTGCTGGGGCCAAGGTTTATCCATATTCAAGTACCAAGTATTTTTCAACAGCTGGATGTGTTCCAGCTGCTGTGCTGTAGCAAAATGGGTTCTTTTCTATTATCTTTTGGAAAACATTGTAAAAATAGGCATTTGACTATCTGATTAACTCAAAAATCATTAGGGCAAATCAGCTGTTAGGAATACGATTTTGCACTCAAACACATTGCCAGAAGTCTGCAAAAACTCTCTGAGAGTCAACAGAATGACTGTGCTAATCTGACAGCATAGGCTGGATCTTTGTGTTGTGATACAAAACTGATTTGTGGCATCAGGTGTACCTTGTAGGCAAGTTAAACTGTGATGCCTTCTGGGAGGCATAATAATACATGATGGGAAAAGAAAGAAAAAAAGCCATGCCCTGAGAAATGGTGAAGTTGTTTGCCAACATTTTCTTCTTCTTTGTTTTTCAAAGGCGAAAGCGGTTATGGCAAAAGTGGGTTACCCTCCATTCATAATGAATGACACATATATTAATGAAGACATCAAAACAGTAAGTGTCAGATTTACAGCTTTCTTCTCTTACATATTGCAGCCATTCTCTGCTGTTTTGCTGCTGTCAGAAATCAAAGCAGTTCTTTTGCTTTGCACCCTTCTGAAGTTCTGCTTGTTTGGTTATTTATACATCTTGAATTAAGGATGCTCGCTCTTGTATCTGCAATGTCAATGCCGAAGTGTCTATGAGATGGCCATCAGGCCTGCTGGGAGTAAAATGTGCCTGGGTGCAAAGAAAATCTTATTGGAATTAGACATTTTTAAGGTTAAAAATACCTTGGCATAAATTTTGTATTTAGAGTTGTATTAAAAAAAAATATATCCTCAAAGTAAAGGTCTTCACAAAAACCTAATACCTTTCTCCTCAGAATATCATAACTCCTGTGCACCATATATGCTCTTCCCCTTTTCCAGGCTATGCATTTTACTTATGCTTGTTTGTTATAGCTGTGCCTAGAGGTCCTCAAAATACAGCCCCCGTGTGCTGAGTGCTAGGCAAGAATGCTATGCGGGGGCACTTGTTCCTTATGACAGACCTGTTTAGCCTAGTTAAGGCAGGAAGGCAGATGACAAAGAATAACATGTATTCCCATTTTCCAACAGGGTAACTCTGGCATGTAGATGATGAAGGGTATTACCTGGAGTCACAGACAATGTAGAACCACAGATTGAACCCTGAACCACCAAACGCCAAGTCATAATAGAATCATCTTTGCCAGAGAACATGAGTTAAAGAGGAGCATAATTTTTAGAGAAACCTGCGAAGAACCAACTTTATAAGCCCAGTCCTTGTTCATGGAAAGAGTAGAGAGAGATGGTACTGTGAACCTTTGTCCCCATTGTAATGAGGCCGAGGACATGACAAGCATTACCATTCAGGGTAGGGAATTACTTGCCCAGATAAGCAGAACTAAAAAACACGTGTTAATCAGGATTGCAAAACCGTAGTTTGAAGTATAACTTGATCACAAGTCCTAGGATTGTTTCAGACTGATGATAGGGATATCAGCTGGATTTGTAAAATATTAACATCCCCTTTTCTTGCATGGTTAGTCATGTATGTGGGCTTTGCTAATAGAGTCGGGAGCTTATGGAAACCTGGAGCCCTATGTCTGTAAATACCACTGAGTGTAAGAAATGATAAGAAAGCATGGCAGAATCCTCTAAGGGAGCAGAGTATAAGATATTTGTAATGAAATGCAAAATAAGCTGAAAAGAAAGGGCCTTTGTAACATTTTTGAATGTGGTTCTAAAATACACTTTCAAAATAAAACCACTCCTATTTCCTTATGGAAAAGAGTCTGACTTAACAATAACCACAGAAACGCGTGATCTGCAGTTGATCACTGGGTACCTTTCTGGTTTCCTCAGTTGCTCTCTGCTTCTGGTCCAGGCAAGAGCTTTTCTGATGTTCCAATCCTTTGCGCAGATCTGTTCAGCCACTGCTTTTCTTTTCTAAACAAGCTTTAAAAATATTTATTCTTCCTACTAAATGGGAAAACTTTACTTCCTTTGATATTGGCTCAAAATTAGGTGATTATTTGTTTAAAATAAAAGCTCTAATTGTTTCATGTCAGCTTTTGTTTCCTGGACATATTTTTAAAATGCCCATGCTTTATCCATACAGATGAAGTTTACAGAAAGTGACTATTTTGGCAACGTATTACAAACGCGCAAATACACAGCCCAGTCTGATTTCTACTGGCTTAGAAAAGAAGTTCCAAAAACAGAGTGAGTAGACAAAACACAAATTTACATAATCTTTTAAAATATTTTAATTTATTTGTTAATTTATATAGTTCATATACAGTATCATATTACAATAGGGAAAGTTTACAGGGAAAAAACAGTTATTCAGCAACTTCTGTGGATATTTTTATCATAAAATAGCTTTTTTTTTGTTAAGTTCTAGGTATTCTTGTTCTAATGCACACTAATCATATGCTTGCAGCTTAAACTTTAAATTTAATGAAAAAAGGGTAATTGAATCTCAATTAAAATTGGATTATGTCTCTTGGTCACAGTTAGAATTTAGAATAGTACAGCAGGGATTTATGAAATTGATTTTCTAAGAATGGAACCATTAGTAAGAGATAATGTTATTATTACTAATAGCAATGAGCATTGTTAGTTGCCTGCTGTTGATAGCAATGGTATGGAATAAGACATAATTTAATTTACATATGTTACATTTATTTATTTGTAAACCTGAGAGTACATATTGTGTTGCACACAGTCATCACGTACATGAGAGAAGCGATCTCTTTTCTTACTGGTGGGTAATCAAATCCTTAAAATGCAAATTAAAACCTAAACAGAAGTTAATTAGTCTAATCACACTCCTTAAAAATGACTCCTTTTACACAGAGACTTTGAAATCAGTGCTGCTGCTTAGTTTCTGCGGTTTTATTTCCTTATGGCGCCAGTAATTCTTGCTCGTGCTGAACAATACTTTGCTTCAAGAATGCCTCCATGTCATCAGTGAAGCAGGAAAGGGTTGTCAGCAGGACAGGCATATAAGCTCTTCCCAGTGAGGGTGTTAGAATTTGCCTCTGTGTTTTTGCAGGGATGTTTCTAGCTTAATTCTCTCCATGACTTTACCTTCTAATCATACCTTTCTCTGACGTTATAAGAATTAATCCAAGGGGATGGTTTTGTAGGCTTTCCTGCAGCTTTGGATGCCTGGGCTAGATCATGATAATATGTATTCTCTTCAGACCAACAGTTTCCCTGCGAGCAGTGAAATAACCCTTGCTTCCTTACAGAAATGGAGATCAACAACCTTTATCATTCATCCTCGTGAAAAGAGTTGTGGCTGCACTAATGCAGACCAAAAAGATTCTGGGTGTGATAGGAAATGTCAGCTGTAAGAAAATTAATTGGCAAGTAATCCCTGAAATGTACAGCTCCAGGGCCGTAATCTGAGAACTGTCACATCATGAATGTGCTTAAAAAAATGAAGGATTTACTCCGTTGCCTACTGCAAGATTGAATACTTCCTCCTGCTTGTCTTTCCCCCTTTATTTCAAGGGCTACTTAACGGCAGACTCCTCATCACCTTAGGCTTACCCCAAAACAAGAGATCTGTTCTAGTCTGCTTTTATCTTTTCATTGCTAAAACCAGATAACTAGATCCAGTGTTCATATGTGGTCACAAGGTAGCTCATCCTAAGCCCCAACAAGGTGGAGCAAAGGGGAGTGAATGACCTCTTCTCCCCTGCCTTTGCTACAGTGCAGAGGGGAGAGGTGCATCCAGTGGGACACTGGTGGGGGAGGAGGACCTACCAGTCTAAAATATGTCAAATCTGTCCTTAAAAATATCAGTTTGCTGCATTTTAACTAGAGACTACAGCTTTCTGATGTTTTTACTTTCTCTTAAGCTTTTATCTTTCATGGCACTCCACAGATCATTGGTCTACATTGAAGCTTGGCACTGTTATAATAGATAATTTCCCTTGGGGTTTTGTTTCAGTTTCTTTTTTCTTTTCTTCTTTTCCGTAGTTCAGTAACTTTTAGCAAAACATTTATATTTATAAATAAATGGCTATTATAAGATGGTCCATGCTGTGAACTGATAAAGGTACATAAGAAAATGTTTTAAAATATTATAAAAATATTTAAGGAAATAGTTTAAAATAACATAAGAAAGAAACCAGGTAGTCTGCCATATAATAGAGTAATGTCACCCAGAAAAGGTAAAACACTATATTCATTTACCAAACAGTCCACATTTCTCAGCAATATCATTCCAAACTAGACTCACTTTCCTCAGCACCATCAACTATATGGAAAATCGAAGTGGTGGTTCACTCCAAACCTCAGCAAGAGAATTGTGAGACTGACAGAGGAGCTGGAGGTAGAAGACAGAGCATTTTGATAAAACAAGAGGATTGGTTTTGGGAATGTGGGTATCAAAGCAGAATATTTATTCAGGAAATTCAACAATTTCATACTCTAAGAAGGGGAAAAAATTCCCCAAACCAGGAGCACCTATCGAAATTCCTTGTCTCCTGTTTTGCTGCCTCCTGACTTAGCAGTTTACAGGATTAGCCAGTTTACAGGAAAAGGAGCAGGGAGACAGTCAGGTGCAGCACTGCTCAGGCTGCAAGAGGGGGGCTATATCGGATGTCTGAGACCCAGCTGGTCCCAACAAGCTGCAAAGGGGCCCTGCCTGCCCATCCAGGACTGGCCTCCCCCTGCAGGTACCACAGCTACCCGAGGCAGAACTTGCTCTTTTTAACACCTTGGTTCACTACTGTCAGGTTAGAGGGGAAGACAGCTCTGAGTGGTGCTGGGCTGGATGCGGTAAAGGACAGTGCAAACACTCGCCTACCTAAAGGCAAAAGCAGACATGAAGGAGGCTGGGCAGGCAGTTGTCTGCAGGAGGCTGGCCGAGCTGTCAGCTCAGAAATGCCGTGGGTGGGCTTGCCAGCCCTGGAGAAGAGAAGGCCAGAAAGGAGCCGCCTGGAGCCTTTTCCTGTTCTTTGAACCTCTTTTTAAGCAGTGATCTAACACTGGAGGTTGGGCCCAGCCTTACCGTCCATATTTTCGGCCCAGCCCCAGGGAAGATGGGAGGCAGTCTGGTCTGTGAGACTGGTCTATTCCTACCAAGGAAAATGTCTGAAAATAGCCTAACAGGTGAAGGGGAAATACACTTTCAAAAGTCATCTTGAAGATCGCCTTCCCTTTAGAAGTTTTTCTTTATATTCCTTTCTTATCTAGGGAAGAGGTCTTGCAGATTGCAGCCTATTACCAACTTTGTCCTGTCTTTTACTTCTAACCAGCTTAAGGGCATTATAGATTCACAAGTTCATTTTTTATTTACATGGGTTTTTTTTATTTTTTCTTACTTTAGACTTTGAACACCAAATTCTGTTCCACCTGAGTGATTTCTTCTAACTCAGAAAGTCAAAGAGAACAAAATCACAACTTCAATTTAAGCTTTATAGAGATTTAAAAAAAATAAAGTTTTCCCCTGTACTGTAGCTCTTCCCAGTCATCTCTCTTCATGATTGCCAATGTAGTACACTGCACTCTTAACTTAGAAAGGTAGATATTATGGAGGCAGTTGTAGCATAAACAAACAGCTAGGAGAGGGGCTGCCTCATTTGCTAACTCAGTGCAGGTTTCAGATTTCATTTCTGCAAGAGAAATCTCAAGCTTACATGTGTCAAATCTGCAGCATTATAATGTGCTGAAGTAGTTGATAGGTAATATTACAGGGCATCACTCAAAGCTGTCCCTCTTTCAAATGCATATAAGAAGTGGAAATTCTTCTAGCTTTATTATTTAGTTTGTAACTAGTGGAAGCTTAGAGTTTCTTATGCTTGACCTTTTTCTATCCTTCTGTAAATAGATTTTTTTATATCATAGAAAAGTCAAATGCACTGAAATTCTAACCAGACCTAGTGCAAATGCCCAGGTAACCTGACTTCAAACAGGAATGTGAATGCTGTTTCTAAATCTGCCTCACCTTAACATTCATAACCTCAACAGATATTCACTACAGATCATGTAGTAATTTGAAGTATTGCTAGTTAAGGTCTGTCACTGAATGCTCACTCAATCAAGGAGCTCACTGAAAGCATGAAGGATGTGAGGTGAAGTTATTCTTCTAGTCTGAAAGGAAGTAGTCAAAGTTATTTCTGTTCTTCTTATGGAAAATGCTTCCTAAATCTTTTTGAGAGTGACTCAAAATGAAACAACAAAATGCTGGAGTGTAAATATGTTCCTTGCTAGAGTGTCTAAATGCCAAATACAAAATTAAGCTGTGCACATTGTTTGTCACCTGAGAACTCTTCTTCATGGCTTCTTGGTATGGCTAATACGTCCTCTGTTCCTATCTATTTAAAAATATAACAATTTTTTGCAGAATAGTTCTTCAGACCTCATCATGTAAGAGAAACTTGTAAAGAATGTAGTTCACTTTTACCCTGTTCTGTCAGTATTTGGATTTATACTAGGCTCAAGAAGCAGGATAGGCTCGGTCCTTGCTGATTACAGTTGTGCTGGTGGGTAGACCATGAAGAAAGGAGTCGCCTCAGGACAGAAATGTTGTGATGAGTCATAAGAGCTAGTCTAAGAGGCCCTACCTATGAGGTAGGTCTGTAGGCATGAGAGCGTGGCAGCCGTGGTGTGACCTGCTGTCTGGCCTCCTGTGGCTGCAGAGGGCGCACGCCGGCCTTCCCAACTGCCTCTGCGGTTGGCCTCAGGCAGAACGAGGTGTTTTTGTGGTGACTAGCCATGATGACTCCAGTGTGGCCCCAGGGACTGCAACAGTAAAGAGTGCAGGGAGAGGAGCAAAACATAGTCTATTTTGAAGTATCTGTTATCTACTTTAGGCGCTTGATACTAACTGTTGTGACTGGAAATGAGGAGGTTCTATAAGACACACACTTAAAGAAGGACTTGTAATAAGGGTTCATTGGTCCGGAAACCTTTTCTATGCTTAGGTGTTGTTCAAGAGCATACAAAGCCAATTGTAAGTAGAACAAACCGGCAAGGTGAGATGGAAGTCACAATGAGCTGTGCCTATAGTGAAAGTTACAGCCAAGTTCAAATTAAAACTTTAGTGCTTCCGATGTGTCCCTTGAGGCTTCTCTCTTTGTCAAAAGGGACAGGATCCTTCAGGGCTGCTGCTAAGCCTTACAGCTTGACTGGAAAGCAGGTCCCTCTTCACAAGTGGCTGCCTTGCATCCTCCAAAACAGTTCAGCTGATTGCTTCTGTGAACAAATATGAAATTACAATATAGTTAATTAGGCCCTCTAATGTTTTTCTTTATCCTCTCACCACAAACGTCCTTTTTGCAATTTTCCATTATCCCACTACATTATTGCTGACATTTCATCTCTTTATTATAGGAAAAAGAATCTTACCCTGCTCCTCCCTGTCAGAATCTCCTAAATAAACAAAGCTGGGGGGATCTTCTGTGCCAATTACAGTCTATAATGCGATGGATGGTTAAGATATTTACATGACATCATCTTTTGATGCTTTCATTGGTTAGTTTTCCTCGTTGCTGTGTTGTAAAAGAAGCCGCCCAGCTTTGCACATGAGAGAGGCAGATAAATGTATTGATAAAAGGCAGAGTGCTGCCATTCTAAAACTCTCCTCTTTGTTGCATTGTTTATGTGAGGACATCAGTTACCAGCAAAAAAACACAATGAGGATCAGCAGATAACTTGTTTTTTTGATTGTACTATTTTAAAACAGAGATTCTGTACTTGAATTGTCACTGCCATCATACATTTTTCCACGTTCTGATAGGTCTTCCTTTGTCTTACTCTTTGTTTTGCAGCTCTTATCTCCTTTCTTTGGACTAAAGTTTTCAAAGCAATTACACTGCATTCCCTGCTTTGGATTTGTAAAACTTTAGTGTAATATATTGCAAGAGACATGAATATTTTTCCGGTGAGGGCATTCATTACAGCTGTTTCTAATGTCTTATGAATTAACCACTAACTCTCACCATCTTTATTACTTTAATTGTATCTCAGTTCTTCATTATAAAAACATTAGGTGAAATCTTGGGCTCACTGAAGTCAGAATTTCACCTTGAGGAGATCTGGATCTTACTGAAGCCTACTGGGATTTTTTCTACTGACACGGGTGAAACTACTGTTGATATATATGAGTTTAGACTAAGGAGGTTCATATTTACTTTTTACTTTTCAAATCTAGTTTTCTTTCCAGTCTGTACTGGAAATCTAACTATAAGATGGAACGGCAATATTCCTTTTTAAAATTTGTTTTGTGATGCAAGAGGTCCATTTGTTTATGGACACACTGATAAAATTAGCAGTGTTCACTGAGTAGGGTACAGAATATGAAACTGTTTATTTCTAATTTTGGTTTCCAGATAGGACCCACTCATATCGCTGGAATCATCCTAATTGTCCATGTGGTTATTCAGCAGAGAGACTGAGGCCACTTCACTCATTTCAAAATGCTCTCCTCTAATTTCAAGAGGTAGTTTCTCCACGCATGGTTGAAAGACAGGTATAACAAAACCTAAGAGAGTTTTTGCTGCTGCTCTTAGTGTTGCCTCTCTGTTAGGTGAAGTCAGTACTTCAGTCTGTCAGCATGGCCGATCTCACAAGCGCATTCAGTCACTTAAAAATAAAATAGATTATGTAGTAAGAAGCTTAACAGTTACTCTTGTTCAAATTCATTTCAATGTGCATTTAAATTCACATGCATTCAAATAAAGCCATTAAACAATAGATTTCAATGGTCCAGAAAGTGTAAATAGCACATTTTGAATTGGAGAAATAATTAAAGGTTTATGTATCGTATGTCTTTTAAATTTTAGTTGCTTTTCGCTGAGTTAACTTTTTATCTTTGTTCGTTGTCTTCATAAAGATACATAAGTGTACTGACAGCTGATTTTCTTCTGCCCTTACTACAGGTGGTTTACGAGCCCAACTACTGTCAATGCCTTTTATAGTGCATCTACCAATCAGATCAGTGAGTATCCGACTTTTGACCCTTCTTTTAAAGTATGTGTTTGGAAATTGTATGTATCAAGCTACAGATAATATCTGTGCAGTTCACGTGTTTGTGACTGAAAATCAGATGTGATGGAAATCAGAAGCTCAGAAACATGGTAATTCAGCATGATCCATCTTAAGTTTAGTGGATAGTTCTGGAAAAGCAAGGGCTCATGTAAAATTGAATTGCTGTTGTTCAATGAGTTATGCAGCATCAGCTGAGCTGCAGTAGCTGTGTCTGTCCATTGCAAATGTGGAAAATAATGCATTAGCTTAAATCTGTCTCCTTAAAGTTTAAACTAATGTTTCTATCTTCTGTTTGCTGTAGCAGAAACATGCACACACATACCTCCATAAATATACAGTAACTCTTTATAAGTGGTAGTAGCTCAGTCCTATTGCATTAATAAATATGTATCAATAAACATGAGGAGACTGTGATATAGACCAGGAAAGCTAAGAAATGCTCTCCAACAGATATGTTCAAAGCCGTTCACCTTCAAGGACAAGGAGAGGTATCTGTAATTAACTTTAAGTTCCTGGCTGTATAGTTTGAAGTTATTCTGTAAGTACAGTGTAAACTGTCTTACACTAATTTTAATTCCAGGTTGTTTTTAGACAGTAGAACCAGATAATGCCTGGTTTGGAGGTTTATGAGCTAAAACAACCAAGTTTTTTAAAGATGTATATGGTTTTGGATGTTCAGTTCCCATTTGCTTTAACAGGACTTTACATAGAAACCTAACTGACTGTAAAAGTCAATACCTTTACTTCTAAGGCTAATAGTGAATAATAGTGTTATCTTTACACAGGCACTTTTCTTTCTCCTTACTAGCTTTGCAACCTAAATCAGCGTTTTTTCCTCTGTGCTGTTAGGGTCTGGAAGGTTGTCTGCTATAACCTCTGCGATTTTGGTCACCAAGAACAGGCTCGTCAATAATTTCTAAGTGCTTCCCCCTTATTTTCCTGAATCTCTTTTGATCACACAGTGAAGTAGTTTTTGAAAGAGACAAAATGAATGCATCACGATGAAGAGATTGTTGCAGAGAACTGTCAATCCTATATCCTGGTATCTGCACTTACCTATTTCTGTAAATAATTTTTGCCTCTAGATCAATCACTTAACTTATTTTATGACTAAGTGAGCTCACTGGTAAGGTGAGTATGATAATTAGGCAGGTTTTTGATTAAAATTAGTTCTAAGCACAAGACCGCACCACTTTAATTAATGGGCTACCATCATTAAGCAACCACATTTTTGTTGATTGTCTGAGTGAACACTTAAGACAGATTTCATTGAATTGATCAGAACTCTAAAGTAGGTGTGGAAAAATGACAGCAGTTTTTCATCTTAAATTAAGCGCAAAGCACCACTGCTTTTTCAGATGTATTGTGAATGCAGAGAAAGTTTAGCTGGCAAAAAATGAGAACTGTTGCTGTTATGTCTTCTTTAATATTGTGTCCTTTCAAGTTTCAGCAGCATTCAGCTCTCATAGCATCTCTGATATGGCACATTAAAGAAAGCTATAACGAGAGGCTAGAGTTACTGAAGCTAAATTTCACACTTGCTGTGTCTAACAGTGTCACGAAGCAGAAAGCTATCATACGTAACCAATTAGTCATGGGTATAGAGGCAATTGTATTTTGTATCATAACTACTGACCTTCTTGCGCTGCTGGTGTTTGACCTTGAAGTCTGGATAGTGCTGTTCACTGTCCTTTTAAGACTGTTCTTAGGAAGAAAAGGTTTTACATGGATCTTTCTGAACAAAACCCTCTCATACCTGAAAGAGAGAGGTACAAATGTCTTACCCAGAAATTATGACCATTAAGAGGCAAGATACAAAGAAAGGCATGGTCATCTGCTATTGTTGGGTGTGAATATGAAACCTTTATGTGGGAAGTGGCCCCTGTTAGACGTGGGAGGAATGTGCTCAGGTCTGAAGTTGCTGATAAATCTTTGTCACATTACTACTGAGCTTCCATTAATACTGCTGGGAAAGAACTGCACTGTGTGAGACTATGCTTCATGAGCCCAAGCGTACCCATTACTGCGTACTCTTATCTCTGGGCACATCTCGTGCCAAGGAGTTATTACCATACTGCTTACAGCTGTGTTTTTGGTAGCCCTTCATAGTAAGTTCTGTAGGAGCTGGTGAAATGCTAGAAAAACTGTGGCCTTTTTAAAGGCCTAGTTAAACAACAGAAAAAAGAAATACTACAAAACAGAAAGTCATTTGAGAGTGAGAAATGAGCATGGACTCTAGCAAGTTAAAAGTAACGCTGTAGTACAGCAAGTCAACAAAGATTTTGAGGAGCAACTTTCTGATAGCATAGGAACTAATAACAAAACCTTTTCTCAAATACACTAAAAGGAAAAAGAGTCTATAAGGCATAAAACAAAGATAATTATTCACATTGAAAAAGTTTGGAAGGTTCTTATCCTAGAGCTTTCCCTTATGACAGGTAAGTCCCAGGAAATATCTCAAGTGTAGGGTCAGTAGAAGAAGATGCATTAGAAGAAATTCATAAAATGAACTGTGACAGAGGCGAGAGCCAGATAATATCTCCTCAGGAGAAGAAATTGCCACACTGCCAGCTTTGGTGTGTAGCTTATCAATTATACTGGCCTTAGCACAGGAAAAATAGAAGTGGTAAATGTCAAATTTTTTTTTTTGAGAGTACATATAGAGATATAAATATCTGCAGAAAATTCAGTCTGGCTCCTATATGAAGGAAATTGGTAGCAACTATAACAAAGATGATAATGAATAAACATTTGATGTAATTGAGAAGAGTCAATGTAACTTGGATTTTTTTTTCTTTGTAGAGGAAAAAAAACATGCTTCACTAGTCTATTAGAGCTGTTTGAAATTCAGCAAGCATGCAAATATGCTTGATATAGTATGCTTCGTTCCAAAGAGCGCTTTTGATGAGGTTCTTTCCCAAGGCTATTGGAAGCTGTCAGGGGTCAAGAAAGAAGGTCCTGTCATAAATTAATGGCTGGTTAAAGATGAGAAAGTCAGTTAGGAATAAATGATTTGTTTCACAATAGGTGGGTTGGTTACCAGAGGAATTCCACAGGGTTCAGTACTGGTCGGTATATTAACAGATAATCGGAAAAGGAGGGTGTTCTATTAAGGACAAAGGAGCAGATAGATATAAACTCTTCCTCTGCTACAAATTGCTGGAAGGTGGAAAGGTATTCTAGCAGAAGAATCACTGCACACCTGCCTAATGCTCTTTCTCTACGCGTCTACTACTGGTCACTGCTGAAGACAAGAATGAGCTAGGCAGACTTGTTGTCCGCTCAAGCACTCCTGCTTTTCAGTAAGCAAACAAGATTCTAGTGTGTTCATGGCACATCTATTTTTGCTTTTGGTAAATGAGTTTACTAAGAGGGGTATTTGAGAAAACTGAATTTTAAAATGCGCAATGAAAATTGTTTCTGGAAAGCCACTTCTACGTTAACTGGAAAAGAACTTAACTCCAACGTTAATTCTAAAAATTGAGATCATTCAATTTGAAAACAGAAATGTACTGTGTGATATTATCAAAATAACCCCAGCAACTCCAAATTCAATTAGTCATTGAAGCCTTCATGAAACAATTTAGAGACAAAGGCATTATCTCTGCCTTGAACTGTGGATTCTGAAAAGGATCTATCATCAGGTACATGCGGAAGTGAAGGAGAACATAGGTGTCCCTATCACTTCTGAACTTTGGGAAGATGCCTTTGCTTTTTTGTGTACAGAACACAGTGAGGTCTATGATGCGTTCCTGATGAAAGAAATGCAAATTCTTCTATCACTAGTCTGCATCATTGACATAAGAATTAAAGAAGAAATCACTGCAATCTTCCTGCAAGTAACTGCAATCTCCACACAAGAGCAAGTTGTTAATGTTTTTAATAGCATTGTGACTACTCAGTTACTCAAAAGAAAAGGTCTTTCTGCACTGAAAGTGGAAACTAATAGAAAGTAGAAACTAGATGATTTTTAAAACGGTTAGATTTGGGAGAGTACAGCAAAAATTGCATGAGCAGTAGACTGTTACAGATTTTGCTGAGCTTCAGTGCAAACATCCTTTTGTTTGCTCTTTATTACTTCACTTGATTTTCATTACTAAGTTATTGATAACTGGAATGGCGATCAATTTGCTTATTTCTGAAAGAGAAGGAACTAGATGTATAAGATGTGCTGCAAAGAGCAGAGTTATAAAATATGGTACATATAATTTATCTTATAAAAGTTTACTCCTTATGTATTTTATACATGTGTTCTTTTTGTTTCCTTGTTGTTCAGTTAATTCAAAGTATGTTAGATTAACAGCTGTGTATGTTTAAAAAGATTGTTAATCATTTTTCAGTTCTAATTGTCAGATTTTTTTAGAATTGTCTAGTTAATTTCCCTTCAGTTGCAGGTATTTAACAAAGGCAACAGGTATATGTCTTTAGATGTTACAAAGATATCTAAGTACACTTCATATAATCAAAGCAGTACGAGTAGTATGTTTTTAATTATGATCACTGGAACGCAAAAACACCTTCCCAAAGACTGTTTGTTTTAATGAGTTCTAGAGCAATCAATGAATATGTGCTGCAAATAGATACAAGTGATAACCAAGACATGCTATTATGCTTCTGTTGAAGAAAGGTTTTGTTTCATTACAGCATTTAAAATGTTGGCCTTTGAATATGTGAAGGGTTGAAGAGACCTGCTTAGTAGACGTTTGATGTATTTAATTTTCTTTCCAACTGTAAATACATATGTTTCTAGAATACGTTTAAAAAACTAACATTTTGGGGTTGTGAACAGTCATGAAGAGTGAATTTACAGTGAGCAGAGTAAATATGAGCAACACACTCATCAGGTGTGAACTTGAATAGATATATTGGGTAATTAACTACTGTTGATATTATCTCTGTAAGTTTATACCTATGCTTCTTCTAAGTCATTTGTACTTATACTGCAGTTCT